ATCTAAAAAACAAAAAAACAAAAACAAAAAACACAAGGGTCAGACGCCAGCTGAGCAGTGAGGTGAGAAGACGCATGACACCAAAATAGGGCAGCAAATTAATTCAGGGCAGGATGCAAATGCATTACAGGAGGATCTAAATAAACTGCAGGGGTGGTCTGAAAAATGGCAAATGAAATTCAACACCAGCAAGTGCAGCGTACTTAATATTGGAAGAACAAATGCTTATTATGTATAAAGCCTTAACAACATCAACCTAGAGAAGTCGACTTGTGAAAGAGACCTAGGGGTACTTGTAAGCCCGGACCTACGGCCTAGAAAACAGTGCGTTAATGTTCGAAATAAGGCAAACAGAGTATTGGGTTTTATATCTAGAAGTGTAAGTAACAAGAGTGCAGAGGTCTTATTGCAACTATATCTTGCGCTAGTTAGGCCGCACCTCGATTATGCGGTTCAGTTCTGGTGCCCCTATTATAGAATGGATATAAATTCACTAGAGTCGGTGCAGCGAAGAATGACAAAAAATGATTCCGGGACTTAGAAACCTTCCATATCAGGATAGGTTAAAGAAACTTAACTTGCATTCCCTAGAAAGACGAAGAGTGCGGGGAGATATGATAGAAGTATTTAAGTGGGTGAAAGGAATCAATAAAGCGCGAGAACTGAACCTCGGCGAGGTAGGTTCTCTCTGCTCCCGAGGTACCGCGTGACCATGTTCACCTGCAACCAGGCGAAGGTCGTTAGACTGTATCCAGTCAAGCGCCCTTCGCGCAAGGAACTCAACCTCCTTGTCCTGAGGAAGTTTTTTGACTCCTCGGGAATCACGGGGGTGACAGGGGTCGTCCGCAGTGACAGCGGTGACCTTATCGTCACCTTCGCGGAATGGGGAGAGGCCCAGCAATTAGAAAACATAAGACAAATCAATGGAATCGAGATCCAAGTTGAAGCCTGCCTACAGGATAACTTGGTTTTGGGAGTCATCTCCCACACAGAAATCGAACATCTCGAAAAACAAGAACTTGCCGAGCTGATCGGAGATCAGCTCTCAATAGTTCGGAAGCTGACCAGTACAGCTGCCCTGGTTGGCTTCCCAAAGAAACTTCCTAGCTCCTTTTGCTGGGATGGGAGAAGATCCCAGTAAAACCGTACCAGCGAAGACCCACTCGTTGCTACAAATGCCAGAAGTACGGCCATCTGGCGCGGAAGTGTCGTGCCCGGGAGGTGTGTTCAAGCTGCGGGACACCCGGGCACCAGGACGCCAACTGCTTGGCGGCCGCCAAGAAGTGCGCAGCTTGTGGTGGCCCTCACTCCTCCTCCGACCGGGAGTGTCCCAAGTGGAGGGAGAAGTGCAGGGTGGCCAAGCTGCGGACTAACGAAAGACTGAGCTACAAGGAAGCCCTCCTTGTAGTGAAAAATCAAGAAAAGAACAAGCAAGACCTGAACAAGATCACAAAACCCGATTTCATTACACTATCTTTAACATCGTTTATAGAAGTGTATGAGAATATCCCAGAAGAAGACCAGGAAGAAGACTGGAAACTGAAAAGCAAAAGAAGAAACAAGAAAAGGAAGAAGTCCAACCAATCAGCTTCGGCCGAAATAGCCTAACGGCGAAGAGGCCAGTAATCCCCAATACCATCCATCAATAAGGGGATATAGATAAAGTTCTTATAATATCCGAGCAGGATGGGACTCGGAGCAATGGATTCAAGTTGGATAAGTTTAGGTTTAGGAGGGAGATAGGAAGAAACTGGTTCACAAATAGGGTGGTGGACGAGTGGAACAAGCTTAGCAACTTTGTAGTAAGTGCGGGAACTCTGGAAAGTTTCAAAAGGAGGCTAGATAGATTCATGGATGATAGAGAGTAGTAGTAACTCTCGACAGGAGCTGCCATGCACAGGCCAACCGGCCTATTGCAGACTCCTTATTTTCTTATGTTCTTATGTTCTTATGTCGCAGTTACTCCCGACCCACGTGCTTCCACTTGCTCACGTCGGCGCCTGGCCAGACTTACTGTCGCCACACACGCCACTCTCACTTTGACGTGGATATCTCGTCTCTGTTGAAATGACTTGCTTGTTTCTCTGTGTTTTATGCTCACATTTCTTAGTGCCCTCACCGATTCTCCCAGTATTAACGAACCCTGCGGGAACTGTCGTTAGGACAGGCCACAAAGGGGCCCCTTAGAGGGGTGTGGGCTGGGCCGGTGAGTTTACCTGATAGGGTACATAAGAACATAAGAAAATAAGAAGTCTGCAATAGGCCAGTTGGCCTGTGCATGGCAGCTCCTGTCGAGAGTTACTATCACTCTCTATCATCCATGAATCTATCTAGCCTCCTTATTTAAACTTTCCAGCATTCCAGCACTTACTACAAAGTTGCTAAGCTTGTTCCACTCGTCCACCACCTTATTTGTGAACCAGTTCCTTCCTATCTCCCTCCTAAACCTAAACTTATCCAACTTAAATCCGTTGCTACGAGTCCTATCCTGCTCGGATATTATAAGAACTTTATCTATATCCCCTTTATTGATTCCTTTCACCCACTTAAATACTCCTATCATATCTCCCCGCACTTTTCGTCTTTCTAGGGAATGCAAGTTTAGTTTCTTTAACCTATTTTGATATGGAAGGTTTCTAAGTCCTGGAATCATTTTCGTCATTCTTCGCTGCACCGAACTCCAGTGAATTGATATCCATTCTATAATAAGGGCACCAGAACTGAACCGCATAATCGAGGTGCGGCCTGACTAGCGCAAGATATAGTTGTAATAAGACCTCTGCACTCGTATTACTTACACTTCTAGATATAAAACCTAATACTCTGTTTGCCTTGTTTCGAACATTAACGCACTGTTTTCTAGGCTGTAGGTCCGGGTAGAGTAGGCTCCTCCTTTTTTGGGGGTCCTGTTGGGAGGGGGGGGGGTTGGCTACGGCAATGGTCCTAGGGCAACAAGGAACTAGGTAGGTGTAGTGAGCCTTCATTGTCAATTTATTGATTTAAGACGAGCGAGAGAGACGTAACCAATGGAAGGAAAATGCCACAAGAGGACTCGGAAGGAAAACAACATCTCCGACATAGACAATATATCACCAGCAATCCACCCAGTGGCAGAACCACCCACCTTCGCGATTCCGACGGTGATGAAGTACAAGATTCCCAAAGAAACCGAATTCAACCATGCATACGAGGTAGTGGTAGCACTGGAACTAGAATACAAGAACATCAAGTTCATTGTGAAACCCAATCCAGTTGGAGACCTGATACTCTCCCCCAAGACCACAACACAGCCAAGATCCTCAGCGAGGTCACCAACCTCAACGGGAAGACGGTCAAGATAATACTATTAGACCCCGAAGAGAAAACAACCAGAATGGTCCTACTACGATATCCTCTGGAACTACCTGTAGAAGTCATCATAAAGCATTCAAAAGTGACCAAGGCAGAGCGTTGTGTTACGAGTCAGGACAAAGCACAGACAAAGCAAGTGCTAGTGGACATCAAGGGGACAGTCCCAGAGGAGGTAGACCTAGGCAACTGGGGGACTTACAAGTTGCGTCCTTTTGTCCCAGAACCACTACGATGCTACAAATGTTAGAAATTAGGACATCATCAATCCAGATGCCACAAGAAAATGAGATGTGGCGTCTGCAGCCAAAGCCACAAGACAGAAATGTGTATTCAAAAACACAAGGAAGGAACCACCACGACAGTCAAGTGCCCAAATTGTGGAAAGAAACATCACGCTTGGAGCACATCATGCCCAGAGAGGAGAGAGTGAATGAAAGTTGCAATGGCAAAAATTCAACCACAAAACACAACAGAAGCACCTCAGAGCACATTCGTGTGGGGTCAACTCAACACCCACTCTGCCCCAACTGTCAGAGGATTCCTTCCCTGCACTTCCTCCACCAGGCTACAGGCCAAATTTGAAGACACCGGGACAAAATCAGTCCATGCAGGAAACCAGGACAAATCAGTGTACTCCACAATTGCAGCTCAAGAGCTGTAAAGCAGTAAAAGCACAGAACACCATATTGCCTGAGACACTGCAACTCCCTCAGGCGACCGCCCAACTGGATACACTCCAGCCTGCCAATCTACAAGCGGCATTCACAGAAGAACAAATAAAACAGATGATCACCATTACGATAGTGACTTTCTCTACTATAATAAAGAAACAAGATACCAGCACCGAAAATATAATAAATGCAGTTATGACACAGCTCACAGAAAAGATGCAGGAAGACCAGACCCCAAAACTCCACAACTACAAGTGGAACAGACGACGCCCTTGAGTCAGATATCAGTCAAGAAGAAGAACTTGCCATCCGAGAGATCACTCAAAACCGTGAAACCTCAAGCCCCTCGCAACAGATCACGAGGAATAGAACAACAAGCACAGACCGTCAGCAAACACACGATCACAGGCAAGAGGGACTGCACCCTGAAGCGGAATTCCACCTCCTGCTCCTCCCTTAGAGCAGGTGCCCAAGAAACAGCCACCAATGAGCACACCATTCCTAACGGACGAGGAGGAGTGCGACTCAACCATGAACGCCGAGAGCAACTACAGAACCAGCGACGAGGAGATAATGATAGAATAGCGCCACCTCCTTGTCATCTCAAGGCCGCCTGCTGCATTCCTTCCCCAAGCTCACCTATGCCTCCCCCACCTGGTCTTCCTCCCTAAATGCCACACAACGTAAACACCTAGAAAAAGTGCAAAAGAGGGCATGCAAGATTATTCTCCCCCCTTCCTACTCCACATATCAAGAAGCGCTCAACACACTGACCCTTTCGACTCTCACTGACCATCACCACGACCTCATCTGCAAATTTGGTAAGAAGCTTCTACACCATCCCCGACACCAGCCCCTACTACCTGAGATCCTGTCCAAAATTGCTGTTCGACACAACCACACATCCAGCCATACGTGCACTGAACTGATCGCTATAAAACAGCCCAGTCCCAACCATTGTAAAAATTATCAATAACATGTAATAAATCAGTGTATTCACTCCCAGTAAACACTGCTCCCTACACTGTCACTATGTTGAAATGAACTGTATTTTGAGCTGATCCCCATCTAAGTTACTATATGTCTTATTTGTGTCACTTATGTCACTTGTATATTATTTGTAATTCGTAACCCATTCCCCAAATATGTAACTGTATATTTTCAGCCTTCTGGCTGCCAAGCTCCTTCAATAAACCGTTAATTATTATTATTATTATTATTACACACACACACACACACACACACACACACACACACACACACACACCATGACCATACACCAACAAACTGTAAACTATAATAATTTGTATGTTCAATCATTGTTCCTTCTTCTTTTAGTAATGAAAGTTTTTGTTAAACGACCCATCCACCCCATGTCTTTGTATGTAATAAGTCATTTTTGTCTAATGTATATTTTCACCCTTCGGGCTGCCGACTTTTTCAATAAACCGTTAATTATTATTATTTATTTTATTATTAAGGCCTGTCCAACAAACGGCATACTGTACAAGCAGCAGCAATAGCTAAAAATATTGATGTCTTCATTCTGCAAGAAACCCTGATGTCAAAAGATAAACAATTCCGCTTGCCTGGATACCAATAGTACTCTGTACCAAAGAGGCCCAACTCCCATGGCAGCATGATTCTCGTCAGGGCGACCATCCCCAGTTCAGAAGTAGAACCAGTTCACTGTGGAGATGGAGTAGAGGCACAAGCTGTTCGGATGCACCTGGCAAACGACAGTCTTGTAGTATACAATATCTATAAACCGCCACCCAAAGGACTAGAAGCCGGTGAAGTACTGACACAAGCAACACAGGAACTTGTACCCATTGCTGGGGACTTCACTGGCCACCATCCAACGATCAATTCGACCACAAGAATGAACCAGGATGGTCATCACCTAGTGGAACTGCTGACAGATGTTCCAGAAATAACGCTCATTAATACTGGGGAACCAACACACATACTGGGAGGAACATTGGACCTCACATTCATTTCCACTGAGCTCGTTCCAATAGCTCAGTGGGAGATAGATGATGAACTGACCAGTGACCACTTTGCAACGACAACTACTTTGAGAATGGAACCTAACCTAACCTAACCTAACCTCGTCCCCCACGTCCGCCACCCAGATGGAATACCAAGAAAGCAAATTGGAAATTATATCAAGATGAACTTCAAAAATGGTTTTCGAACTATGAACCAGCAGAAGATATTGACCAACTAAACCAGGACCTTACTGGTGCCATACAACATGCAGCAGAGAAAGCAATACCAAAAACAAACCCTACAAATAGACACCACAAAGACTACTGGTTCTACAATGACGAAGTCAGAGAACAGAATCACAGAATCAACACATTCAGAAGACATCTCCGACAATACCCTTCCCCTGAGGGAGTGAAACTCTTGAGAGCTGCTGTTCAACATGCTCGTCAAATTACTCAGAAAATTAGGGAAGACAAATGGCTCGAGTGGTGCGCAACCTTTAATGCACACACCAGCCTGAGTGAACTCTGGAGAAAGCTCAGGATAGCAACAGGAAAATTTCCCAGATCTCCAGCCCACCCCCAGCCACTACAGGAAGCAAATCCTAGCAGTTACACAGTTGGTGGTAGAGATAAATTGTTTCTCCCCATTACTGTGTTACACTGTTACAAAGAGATAAAAGTTACAGTCCTACCCATTTCTAACATACACATATAAGGTGGCTGGGCGGGGGAGGTCTCCATAAGACGTCACGCCATCTCACTACCTGTGCGTGAGCATACCTTGTATATCTTTATATCTTGGGCTAGAGGTGAGTACTTTATCCACTCGGCTGTAACACTCCCGCCTCTTGTCTTTTAACTCCCTTATGTCTAGTATTTTACTACTCGTGTGGATTATCGATGACACAAGCATAGGAAATGTCATACTTGAGGGTGAAGGAAGGCAATACACATATAAGGTAAATTGGTTATGATTAACATTGAGTAGATCAAGAAGCGAGACCATCAAAGTAAGAGAATTATAGCAGTGTTAGGGTGGAGAATCTTCCTCCTCCAGCCTCCCGCCTCCCACTCATGGTTTATCTCAAGCCTCACACAACAGTTCCTTGGAAATGAATGTGACGCCGACTACTGGTCAATGTGTTCCAGGCCCATTAGGCCCTAACGTGATCTTAAACTAACCAGTAAGACTAAGACTCACTTGGATTGGAGCCTCTTTGCCTCAATTCTGTTAATTAGATTAGGTTAAGACTGGAACCCATTTGACCTGGCTGAAGATAGTTACAAACAACTGTTCTTCCTGTCTCTCACGCGCCCCTGTTGTGGTAAAAGACCTCAGCACTTACCTGCATGGAGGGGTCGCTGGGGACTGGGTCAGTTTATCGAGATCGGGTCGCGTCCAGAACTCCTTGTGTCGTCCGCTTCGCACGTATTTGTCGTTGAGCGTCTGTCAGGAAGAGAGATGGCGAAACATCAGCAGGTAATTTTTATTATAGTCTACTTAACACTTTCCCACAAGCACAAGTACTATCAATAACCATATTGTTTATGCGTGGAAGGAAACCTTGGTCCTCTGTAACTTTTCAATGTTTAAATAGCTTTGTGTGTGTGTGTGTGTGCGTCTAATACTTGAATTCACTGGGAACACGCACTGTTTTGTTCATGCGAGATATTTCTAGTTATCTTCTTGCTTACACATCTAACTAAGTATTCTTTGGAAGTTATGAGTAAACCTTAGCCTGTTGACCGGAAGCTTCTAATGCGTGAGATAAGCAAGAGAGGTCGAAAACTTGTGACGTGTAGAGGGAAAATAAGGTAATTTATGATAATCAACAGATTCTCACAATAAGATCCCCTGACATAAAGTTAACGACTAAATTACCGTGTTCCTTGCTATAGATACGTAAATAAGTCAATAGTTACAATAGTTACTTATATATACTCTTCGAAACACGAGGATCCATATATATTTCATTAGCCCAATAAAGCACGCGACTTTACATAATCAACACCTCAACCCTGGCGGGTTGAGGTGTTGATTGTATATCTGTATGTGTGTATATAAATATGTGTGTACAGTATATGAGAAATCATCTTTAAATATACTCTCCCTAATTGTGATTGATCGTCCGCCATGGTGGTACTGCCACTATACACTACCTTGACAGCGTCTTTTAGTTTCTTGGGCTGGTGTATGAGCTGCGTGGCGTTGGCGAGGTCGGCGAGAACGCGGGTGAGGGCCGTGGCGAGGGCATGGTGGCGCTGCTGTAAGTGGCGCGCCTGCTGCCCTGCTGTCACCAACCGCTGACCCATCTCCTTCACCTGCCTGTCTCGTGCCCCCACCACCAATCGAGTTTCTCTCATCTCCTCCTCCATCTAATGAGGAGAGATAGTCACCGGATATGTTATGGACTACAAAGGGAGGTGGACATAGAATAGGAAAAATAACAGAGAGAGAGAGAGAATGGAACAGAAAGCACAAAAGAGACCACAAAGAGAGAGATGGTAAACAGGGAAAATGATGGAAATCAGGGATATGACGATAAATGGGAAGAAGACAGAAGAGAAGAGAATACAAACAAAGGATTTGGCAAAGTGCAGGGTAAGAGACTATAAACAAGGCAAAGAGCAGGGAGAGTCTGTAAACAAGGCAAAGAGCAGGGAGAGTCTGTAAACAAGGCAAAGAGCAGGGAGAGTCTGTAAACAAGAAGGAGTTAAACAAAGAGCAGGGGGAGTTAAAACAAGGCAAAGAGCAGGGAGAGTCTGAAACAAGGAAAGAGCAGGAGAGTCTGTAAACAAGGCAAAGAGCAGGGAAGTCAAAAAGGCAAAGAGCAGGGAGAGTCTGTAAACAAGGCAAAGAGCAGGAGAGTCTGTAAACAAGGCAAAGAACAGGGAGAGTTCAAACAAGGCAAAGAGCAGGAGAGTCTGTAAACAAGGCAAAGAGAGGGAGAGTCTGTAAACAAGGCAAAGAGCAGGGAGAGTCTGTAAACACAAAGAGCAGGGACAGTCTGTAAACAAGGCAAAGAGCAGGGAGAGTCTGTAAAACAAGGCAAAGAGCAGGGAGAGTCAAAGAAAGAGAGGGGAGAGTCTGTAAACAAGGCAAAGAGCAGGAGAGTCTGTAAACAAGGCAAAGAGCAGGGAGAAAACAAGGCAAAGAGCAGGGGGATGTAAATAAAAAAGCAAGGCAAAGAGCAGGAGAGTCTGTAAACAAGGCAAAGAGCAGGGAGAAGAAAAAAGGAAACAAGACTGTAAAAAAACAAAACAGGGACAGTCTGTAAACAAGGCAAAGAGGGAGAGTCTGTAAACAAGGCAAAGAGCAGGAGAGTCTGTAAACAAGGCAAAGAGCAGGGACAGTCTGTAAAACAAGGCAAAGAGCAGGGACAGTCTGTAACAAGGCAAAGAGCAGAGTCTGTAAACAAGGCAAGAGCAGGGACAGTCTGTAAACAAGGCAAAGAGCAGGGGAGTCAAACAAGCAAAGAGCAGGGGAGTCTGTAAACAAGCAAAGAGCAGGGACAGTCTGTAAACAAGGCAAAGAGCAGGGGAATCTGTAAACAAGGCAAAGAGCAGGAAAAAAGAGAGTCTATAAACAAGGCAAAGAGGGACAGTCTGTAAACAAGGCAAAGAGCAGGGACAGTCTGTAAACAAGGCAAAGAGCAGGGAGAGTCTGTAAAGGCAAAGAGCAGGGGAGTTTCAAAAGGCAAAGAGCAGGGGAGTCTGTAAACAAGGCAAAGAGCAGGGCAGTCTAAACAAGGCAAAGAGCAGGGCAGTCTGTAAACAAGGCAAAGAGCAGGGAGAGTCTAAACAAGGCAAAGAGCAGGGACAGTCTGTAAACAAGGCAAAGAGCAGGGAGAGTCTGTAAACAAGGCAGAGCAGGGGAGTCTGTAAACAAGGCAAAGAGCAGGGACAAACAAGGCAAAGAGCAGGGACAGTCTGTAACAAGGCAAGAGCAGGGAGAGTCTATAAACAAGGCAAAGAAGCAGGGGAGTCTGTAAACAAGGCAAAGAGCAGGGAGAGTCTGTAAACAAGGCAAAGAGCAGGGAGAGTCTGTAAACAAGGCAAAGAGGGGAGTTCAAAGGCAAAGAGCAGGGAAAGCTGTAAACAAGGCAAAGAGGGAGAACAAGGCAAAGAGCAGGGAAACAAGGCAAAGAGCAGGGAGAGTCTGTAAACAAGGCAAAGAGCAGGGAACATGTAAACAAGGCAAAGAGCAGAGTCTGTAAACAAGGCAAAGAGCAGGGACAGTCTGTAAACAAGGAAAGAGCAGGAAGTCTGTAAGCGGCAAAGAGCAGGAGTCTGTAAACAAGGCAAAGAGCAGGAATCTGTAAACAAGGACAAGAGCAGGAGAGTCTCTAAACAAAAAGAAAGGAAGTCTATAAACAAGGCAAAGAGCAGGAGGAGTCTGTAAACAAAGGCAAGAAACGAAGTCTGTAAGCAAGGCAAAAACAGAGTCTGTAAACAAGGCAAAGCAGGAGAGTCTGTAAACAAGGCAAAAGCAGGAGGATCTATAAACAAGGCAAAGAGCAGGGAGAGTCTGTAAACAAAGGCAAAAAGAGCAAGAGTCTGTAAACAAGGCATGAGCAGAAGTCTGTAAACAAGGCAAAGAGCAGAAGTCTGTAAACAAGGCAAAAGCAGGAGAGTCTGTAAAACAAGGCAAAAAGAACAGGGAGAGTCTATAAACAAGGCATAGAGCAGGAGGAGTCTGTGGCAGGCAGGGAGAGTCTGTAAACAAGGCAAAGAGCAGGGAGAGTCTGTAAACAAGAGAGCAGGGGAGTCTGTAAACAAGGCAAAAGCAGGAGAGTCTGTAAACAAAACCAAAAGAACAGGAGAGTCTGTAAACAAGGCAAAAGAGCAGGGGAGTCTGTAAGCAAGGCAAGAGCAGGGAGAGTCTATAAACAAGGCAAAGCAGGGAAGTCTGTAACAGAGGCAAAAAGAGCAAGGGAATCTGTAAACAAAGGGCAAAGAGCAGGGAGAGTCTAAAAACAAGGCAAAGAACGGGGGAGTCTGTAAACAAGGCAAAAACAGAGAGTCTGTAAAACAAGGCAAGAGCAGGAGAGTCTGTAAAAGGCAAAGAGGGGACAGTCTGTAAACAAAGGCAAGAGCAAGGGACAGTCTGTAAACAAGGCAAAGAGGACAGTCTGTAAACAAAGGCAAAGAGCAGGAGTCTGTAAACAAGGCAAAAAACGGAGTCTGTAAACAAGGCTAAGAGCAGGACAGTCTGTAAACAAGGCAAAGCAGGGACAGTCAAACAAAGGCAAACAAGGACGATCTGTAAACAAAGGCAAAACAGGACAGTCTGTAAACAAGGCAAAAACAGGACAGTCTGTAAACAAGGCAAGCAGGACAGTCTGTAAACAAGGCAAAGAGCAGGAGAGTTGTAAACAAGGCAAAAGAGCAGGGCAGTCTGTAAACAAGGCTAAGAGCAAGGGACAGTCTGTAAACAAGGCAAACAGGGACAGTCTGTAAACAAGGCTAAGAGCAGGGACAGTCTGTAAACAAAGACAGAAGCAAGGAGAAGTCTGTAAACAAGGCAAAACAGGGACAGTCTGTAAACAAAGGCAAAAAGCGGGAAGTCAATAACAAGGCAAAAACAGGGGAGTCTGTAAACAAAGGGCAAAACAAGGGAGGTCTGTAAACAAGGCAAAAGAGCAGAAGTCTGTAAACAAGGCAAAAGCAGAGTCTGTAAACAAGGCTAAAACAGGGGGACTCTGTAAACAAAGGCAAACAGGAGAGTCTGTAAACAAGGCAAGAAGCAGAGTCTATAAACAAGGCAAAAAGAGCAGAGAGTCTGTAAACAAGGCAAAAGCAGAGGAGGAGTCTGTAAACAAGGCAAGAGCAGGAGAGTCTGTAAACAAGGCAAAGAGCAGGGGAGTCTGTAAACAAGGCAAAGAGCAGGGAGAGTCTGTAAACAAGGCAAAGGAGGAGAGTCTATAACAAGGCAAAGAGCAGGAGGAGTCTGTAAGAGGCAAAGACCAGGGAGAGTCTATAAACAAGGCAAAGAGCAGGAGGAGTCTGTAAACAAGGCAAAGAGAAGGAGAGTCTATAAACAAGGCAAAGAGCAGGAGGAGTCTGTAAACAAGGCAAAGAGCAGGGGGAGTTGTGCAAGGCAAAGAGCAGGGAGTCTGTAAGCAAGGCAAACAGCAGGGAGAGTCTGTAAACAAGGCAAAGAGCAGGGAGAGTCTATAAACAAGGCAAAGAGCAGGAGAGTCTGTAAACAAGGCAATAGGGGAGTCTGTAAACAAGGCATAGATCAGGGGAGTCTGTAAACAAGGCAAAGAGCATGGGGAGTCTAAACAAGGCAAAGAGCAGGGAGAGTCTGTAAACAAGGCAAAGAGCAGGGAGAGTCTGTAACCAAGGCAAAGAGCAGGAGGAGTCGTAAACAAGGCAAAGACCAGGAGAGTCTATAAACAAGACAAAGAGCAGGAGGAGTCTAAACAAGGCAAAGACCAGGGAGAGTCTGTAACCAAGGCAGAAGGAGAGTCTGTAAACAAGGCAAAGAGCAGGAGAGTCTATAAACAAGACAAAGAGCAGGAGGAGCTAAACAAGGCAAAGACCAGGGAGAGTCTATAAACAAGGCAAAGAGCAGGAGGAGTCTAAACAAGGCAGAGCAGGGGAGTCTAAAACAAGGCAGAGCAGGGAGAGTCTGTAAACAAGGCAAAGAGCAGAGGAGTCTGTAAACAAGGCAAAGAGAGGGGGAGTCTGTAAACAAGGCAAAGAGCAGGGAGAGTCTGTAAACAAGGCAAAGAGCAGGGAGAGTCTGTAAACAAGGCAAAGAGCAGGGGAGTCTGTAAACACGGCAAAGAGCAGGGGAGTCTGTAAACAAGGCAAAGAGCAGGGGAGTCTGTAAACAAGGCAAAGAGCAGAGAGTCTGTAAACAAGGCAAAGAGCAGGGAGAGTCTATAAACAAGGCAAAGAGCAGGAGGAGTCTGTAAACAACAAGGCAAAGACCAGGGAGAGTCTAAAACAAGGCAAAGAGCAGGAGGAGTCTAAACAAGGCAAAGAGGGAGAGTCAAACAAGGCAAAGAGCAGGAGGAGTTTAAACAAGGCAAAGAGCAGGGGAGTCTGTAAACAAGGCAAAGAGCAGGGACAGTCTGTAAACAAGGCAAAGAGCAGGGGAGTCTGTAAACGAGGCAAAGAGCAGGGGAGTCTGTAAACGAGGCAAAAGAGCAGGGACAGTCTGTAAACAAAGGCAAAGAGCAGGACAGTCTGTAAACAAGGCAAAGAGCAGGGAGAGTCTATAAACAAGGCAAAGAACAGGGGAGTCTGTAAACAAGGCAAAGAGCAGGGAGTCTGTAAACAAGGCAAAAGCAGGAGAGTCTGTAAACAAGGCAAAGAGCAGGGGAGCTGTAAACGAGGCAAAGAGCAGGGGAGTCTGTAACGAGGCAAAGAGCAGGGACAGTCTGTAAACAAGGCAAAGAGCAGGGACAGTCTGTAAACAAGGCAAAGAGCAGAGAGAGTCTATAAACAAGGCAAAGAACAGGGGGAGTCTGTAAACAAGGCAAAGAGCAGGAGAGTCTGTAAACAAGGCAAAGAGCAGGGGGAGTCTGTAAGCAAGGCAAAGAGCAGGGAGAGTCAGTAAACAAGGCAAAGAGCAGGGAGAGTCTGTAAACAAGGCAAAGAGCAGGGGGAGTCTGTATTGATTGATTGATTCTGTTAATTACATCCCTGGCGACGTAACAGCTGGGGTCATATGTAGCCGAATTATAATTAAGGCTTAAAAGACTAAACTCAAATTATACAAGGTCAAAAACACAAGTAATAAATAACATAGAATTTTCGCAATAAAACATTGAAATTACGTTAACAGATAGAAGTCAAAGCTTATGTAGAAGGCCGGCTTTTTCCACGAAGGAGAGGACGTCCCCTCCCACTCTTCCCACTCCCCCCCCCCCAGCACCGAAGAGAGACGGTAAGATCCCCAGGCACTGGGAGAGGTACTTACTACGAAGATCTCTGAGAGACTGGGGAGGTGTCGAACAATCAGTGGGACTAGGCAGTCATCACAATGGGGAAGGGGCGCCCTCTCCATTAAAAGAAAGAAAAAAAAATGAGTCAGACGTCTTTGGCCAATACGGAGGCAGGCAAATTCAGTCTCTCGGTGGCGTGACAGTCACTGATATCCCCAGGCACTCAATGCAGGATGGATGCCGCAAAGCTTTTTTACTTCGACATCATCCCACCTCCATTGCCAACTCGAGCGGGTGGCTGCTCTTATTACTGGCTTCATATCAGAGGCAGGTAGAGGGGAATGATGTGCCACAGGGCGAGAAACAGCTGCTTTTGCCCCACCATCAGCACGCTCATGCCCCTTCTCCCCCACATGGGCCGGAACCCAGCAAAAACTGACTTTCCGGCCCCGACATTGGATGAGAAACAGTCACTTTAAAATATCTACGAGTATAACTAAGGGATGGGGCGATGTAAAATCACTGTGAGGTTGGGTAGAAATAATCTTGAGGGCAAGTAAAATACCCGACAGCTCTGCAAACAAGAAAAAAGGGCAGGGAGTCTGTAAATAAGGCAAATAGCAAGGAGAATTTGGAAACAAGGTAATGGGCAGGTAAAGTTTACAAACAAGGCAAAGGGCTGGGAGCGTAACCAAGGCAAAGGACAGGGAGAGTGTAAACAAGGCAGAGGGCTGGGAGAGTCTGTAAATAAGGCAAATGGCAGGGAGAGTCTGGAGACAAGGCAAAGGGCACGGAAAGTGTAAACAAGGCAAAGGGCAGGGGGGTTCTGTAAACAGGGCAAAGGGCAGGGAGAGTCTGTAAACAAGGTAGAGGGCAAGGAGAGTCTGTAAACAAGGTAGAGGACAGGGAGAGTGTAAACAAGGCAAAGGGAAGGGAGTCTGTAAACAATGCAAATGATAGGGAAATGGATTAAAAACAGGAAGCAGGACACAAATGAGAAACAAGAGCTGATGAACACCTGTCAGTATTTAGTCAGATAAAGCTCGTTGGGGAAGCTCACATCCTTCATGAATTAGCACGACACAGCTTAAACAGAGGCATTGAAGCTGAATTAGTTGAAGCTGAAACTTCTATATTAACAGAAACTTTACAAGCAAAAAGTAGACTAAGCATTTTGAAAGCTGAAGTTATGTTGGTAATGTCATGTAGTGGCAGGAGTGAGGGAATGGTTCAGAAGTCATTGTATATATACTGTATATTAAGGAGTTGCAGGTCGAAATGGGTGCAAACCAAACGTAAACATCAGGGTTGGGGCATAATAGGATTAAGCTCCAGTCTTACAGTTAGGCCAGGTTAAAGATTGGGGCCTATTAAGACTGGGACCCATTCAGTCCGTTCACGGTTTACACTCCAGCTGATGACTTTGAAGAAAGTTGATGAAAGCAGGTGACAGAGATGGGCGGTGGGCGGGCCGTTATATTTCACCTGCTTGATCTGCTGAGCCCGCTGCTCGAGGGCCGCCTGAAGCGGGTCGAGTTCCTCCTTGAGCTGACTCAGCTGGTGTTCGAGTAGGAACCTCTGCTTTTCCAGCTCGCTGATGCGGTCCCGGGTGCTGGTGATCTTACCTTCCTGTGAAGGGTGAGTCCTGGATCAGGTCTTGTACAGTTAAGATTCTGCCCCTTTGTTCTGGTATAACTAAGGTTCTGTTCTCTACCTAATTCTTATTATTTGTATGTCTCTATCACAGTACATGTTCTGTAATACACATTTTGTTTGTGGATTTTGAATTTGTAATTTTCATAATTATTCCTGTGGGGCCCCTTATTTTTTCCTCAGCCTTCAGAGTGATGTGTCCAAACGTAATGTACAGTCTCGTTCAAGATTCTTCGAACACTGCTGGAGACAGCTAGCAACTCAAGGCCGTTTGTTTACTATAGTACGTAGTATAATATAATACCAAACAGCAAAGCCCAACCAGTAAATTAAGCAACGGGGAAGTAAGTAACCAATCACTGATCACTTTTACATTTAGTCATCATTTTTATGACGTACTATAAAACACACTGCCTTGAGTTGCCAGCTGTCTCCAGCAATGTTCGAAGAATCTTGAACGAGACTGTACATAGCCCCAGTCATAAAAGGTGTTTGTCCTTTAGACATATCCTTTAAACATTGACTGAAATACCAAATATGGCACGTTTGAAGTGACTTCCCTAATCCTATGCTAAAATCATTACGTTAATAAAATAAGTTTGATGCTGATATTTTTAGTTTATTCAACCATTGACCCACTCCGTGGTGCTAGGCTATAAAGAAAACGAAAGAATGTTATGTATCGCAGGTGTTGGAGATATTAAAGTGGGAGGGATTTTAACAGCATGTTACATATTTGTCTTGTTTAGTTACTTTACAGTTTGTGATGAGATAAATTCAACTCGAAAAGAAGCTTAAATATATTGTGAAAATACGAATAATAATCTCAAACAAGGAGCCATGGGCAGGTGATGCAAAAAGACAGAAGGTAGCCTCACTCTATCACGGATGATGTCGTCCCGGTGGTTGACCTCTCTCCTGAGGGCGGCCAGCTCGCGCTCCAGCCCCCGGATGGTTGACTGTAGCTTAGATTTGTCCTCTCCTAGTGCCTTCACCTCCCCGTCTTTGTGCTCACACTCCCTCTGTATACTAAACACAAGAACGGGCACACAATGAGTGATTCACTTCACCCTGTTTAGAGCTTGTTTTCTGGGCGCTTCACTCTGACCTAATGTAACGTAAAAAAATCAACCTAACCTAACCTGATCAAATATCCGGGTATGAACTGTGTATCGATCTAGACTTATACAAATGTAAATTATACACTTCATGCCTACTATAATTATAAACAAGACTAATTTTTTTCTTGTAAATTAATTATCAGAATTATAATTGGAGGCGAATGATTGGTAAAACTCAATGTATGGACCAAGAAAGATGTCACCTCTTATTAATAGTTATAACTTTGATTGAGAAGAAAAATACTTGTTTTTTGTTTCACTGTATATATATATATATATATACTGTATATATATATATATATATATATATATATATATATATATATATATATATATATATATATATATATATATATATATATATATATATATATTTCATGTAAATCCACAATGATTTTATCAAGATATATATATATATATATATATATTTAGATATATATATATATATTTGTTTTTTTCAGTGGTGGGTCATTATGGCAAATCCCGGTGAGTTCTTATATGAATTATTAGGAATAGTTACGTAAACCTCACACTATCCTATATTTACGCTTCTACTACAGCTGATAACAGTAATTGAAGGAGCTACATAGCTGCTGCTTCCTACTTGCCAGTGAGTGACCAATATAGGCTATGGTAACATACTTACCTTGCTATATTATGTAAAACCCTTATGTTTATCTAATCACACATCTTAATATTAGTAACATGTAGTATTAATGAATATCGTAGAGATTAAAAACAGAGTTGTAAATCAAAGAAAAATTGGGTCATTTTTAAATGAAATGTGCCCCAGTATTCCTTACTCTTAATTTTCATAAGAGATAGTGTGGTAGATCTCTATTTCAGTGAGTTGAGCTTCGCCAGTGCACTTGCTATATTAGACCTCA